AGCCCTCAATATAAATAGCAACTGACAATCAGTCACTCAGTACTGTATAGGGCAAATCCAGTCCAAATATAAATGTTTAGGGCAGATCTAGCCTAGGGCAAATCCAACCCAAATATAAATAGAAACTGCACTCACTATGGGTGTGCAGACTCCGGAGAGGCAGATCCAACCCAAGCGCTATAATAAGCCAGATCCAGGCATAAATTAATAAAACATGCTGCGGCGTGCAACTCGATCCCATAAATATCACTCACCATCAGGTCCTCGGCCTCACTCAGTCATTAATCTCTCAAGTCTCTCGGGATCACAATGTCATGAAAATATGCCCGATATGATGATATGATGTATCAAATGAAAAGCAACCGAGACTGATACATGATATGCAAACGATAGATGTGACAGGGTACATAATTGTAAATTTAAACAAGTAATTCAACAGCAACACGACCTCTCTGGGTCCCAAAAAGAATACGGCATATAGCCTAAGCATGATTTTAAGATGAGTCTCAGCTTAATTTTTCTAACATGTGGAGGATATGTGGATAAATGACACGATTATTTGACTATGCAATTCCACAGAATCAATTAAGTCACAATTTCTATGATGCACACCCACACGCCTGTCACCTAGCGTGTGCGTCACCTCCAAACCAATCACATAACATGTAATTCGAGGATTTATACCCTCGGAACCAAGTTTAGAAGTGTTACTTACCTCAAGTCGTGCAAATCCCTACTCTAATATGCCCTTGCCTCACGAATTGGCCTCCGAACGCCTCGAATCTAGTCACAAATAATTCGATACAATCAACACAAAGTATAGGAATCAATTCCATATGAAAATGCTAAGTTTTCAAATAAAATCCGAAGAGTCAACTCAAAAGTTAATAGTGGGGCCCACATCTCGGAACCTGACGAAAGTTACAAAATACGAACGCCCATTCAACTATGAGTCCAACCATACCAAATTACTGAATTCCCACATCAACTCGACCTCAAAATCCTAACTTCTTATTTTTAAATCCCTAGGCCCAAATTCTCAATTTACACCTCAAATTCATGGAAACTAGTCGGAATATTTAGCAATAATTCAATATTATTGAACAAAAATGATTACAAGTGACATACCTCAAGAATTCTCGTGGAATCTCGCTCAGAAATTGCCCCATACCGTGTTTGAAAGGTCCAAGAAATGAGAAAAATTCTGGACCCTTCAGAATGTATACTGTTTAGGCCTTTCGCTCCTGCGATCACTTAGCCGCATCTGCAGTCTCGCAAGTGAGACAAAATTCTCTGCTTCTGCGGTGATCCATAAGGCTGCCTTCACTTCTGCGGTGAGCCAAGCGCAGATGCGACTCTGCTTCTGCGAAGAGTACTTCCGCACCTGCGCTGCCCAACTCTTTCACCATTTCCGCTTCTGCAGTCGCTCCATCGCAAGTGCGACTTCGCTTATGCGGACTACCTGCCCGCACCTGTGACCACTGCCTCACTTTGCCCATCCCGCACCTGTGACCATTTTGTCGCTTCCGTGGTCACCCACTTGCGACCAATTTCATCGCAAGTGCGATCGCACCAGAACTGGAAATTTTCTAAAATTGCTTCAAGTCCAAATTTTGATCCGTTAACCATCTGGAATCCACCCGAGGCCCCCGGGACCTCAACCAATTATGACAACACATTCTAAAACATGATACGAACTTAGTCGAGGCCTCAAATCACATTAAACAACACTAAAACACGAATCGCACCCCCAATTCAAGCCTAATCAAAACTAACGAATTCCAAGTTCTACGATTGAAACCTATCAAATCAATTCCGATTGACCTCAAATTTTGCACACTAGTGATAAATGACATAATAGACCTATTAAAATTTCCGGAACCAAAATTTGAGCCTGATAACCACAAAGTCAACTCTCAGTCAAACTTCTCTATTTCTAAAACTTCTAATTTCCAACTTTTGCCTTTTCAAGCCAAATTTGACTACGGACTTCCAAATAAATATCCGGACACACTCTTAATTCCAAAATCACCATGCGGTGCTATTGGAACCATCAAAATTCTATTCTGGAGTCGTTTACACATAAGTCTATATCCGGTCAACTATTTCAACTTAAGCTTCCAATCTTGGAACTAAGTGTCTCAATTCATTCTGAAACATCTCGACAAGTCATATAACCACAATTGAGCATAAAATAAGTAATAAAATAGGGGAATGAGGCCGTAATACTCGAAACGACCGCCCGGGTCGTTACAATATCCCTCCGTGATTGAGGGATATAGTGATGCAAATTGGATCATCGGATAATTTGAAGTTAAACCCACGAGTGGATATGTTTTCACAATTGGGGTGGAGCAGTGTCTTGGAAATCATCCAAACAAACGTGCATCGCCCGTTCTATAATGGAATCTGAATTTATAGCTTTAGAAAAGGCAGGAAAAAAGCTGAATGGCTCCGGAATTTCTTGGAAGATATTCCATTTTGGCCCAAACCTTTGGCACCTATATGTATACATTGTGATAGTCAAGCGGCAATAGGTAGGGCAGGGAGCGTTATGTATAACGAAAAATCTTGTCACATACGACGGAGACACAATACCGTTATACAACTACTCTCTAGTGGTGTTATCACGATTGACTACGTAAAGTCAAGAGATAACGTGTCAGATCCACTTACAAAAGGCCTATCTAGAGAGGCATTTGAAAGATCATTAAAGAGAATGAGATTAAGGCCTAGAACAAGTCATCATGGTGGTAACTCTACCTAGCAGACTGGAGATCTGAAGAGCTAGGTTCAAAGAGATCAAACAAAGTTATGAATGATGGTTCAACATTGTCAAATAACTCAACCCATTCTCGTGATGAAGACAATGTTCAGAAATCAGGGTAAAGCATTAAGGCTTTTTTATGAGTCAATAAAGCTTAAAGCTTTTTATGATTTGCTAAGTCTGGCAGGAAATGACCAGATAATGTGTCTGTAGGATTACAAGTTTAGAAATCACCTATGTGAGTGTGAAGTGTAAGTTGCTTCAAGGAAATGAAAGTAAAGGCCATTCTCTAAGCACTCATGAAACCAGGCGGTGTTCATGGCTGAAACGAACATAACCGTGAGAACCATAGATGGTTAAGGGTTGATTGTGTGACTTATGTTGTCTAGGTATACAACAAAGCCGATGGTTCAAAGATATCAAATTTGCCGATTGATCGAGTATATCCAATATAAGTTCATTACGGAAAGTTCAAAGGAAAACCTACTTATCCAGATGCAATTAATCCTTGCATGTAAACCACACACCCGTTCATGCATTCTTGAGTCTTATAGTCATTCCCCATTCATGCGGGGGATTGTTGGGATTAAAATAATGGTGAATGGAAAATGAAGGGAAGAAAGTGAAGGCAAAGTGAGCTCCCTATTGCTTTGGAAGAGCAAGTGTCCCTCACTGGTAGTGGAAAGAAAAGTGAATGTGCTTATATTGGGAAAACACTTCCCTTGGTGCTAAATGTGTTGGAAAGAAAGTAAGCATCGCACCGCCGTCGTCGTCGCTCGGCTTCGGATTCGGATTCGGATTCGAATTTGAATTTGGTCAAAGATTGATTGATTGATTAATTTTGGACAAAATTTCCTTCAATTATTTAATTAATTAACGAAAAGTCAACACGGAATAACCCAGGACCCGCGATGCGACCCGATCGGGTAGCTATAAATTTGCCTTGATCCCAGAATCTTTTCTTACGAAATTTTCTGATCTTCTTCTTCTTCTTCTGCACGAAATTTTCCAGTGTGTTTTATAACTATGAAGTGGTTCGAAGTTTATCATAATTTTTGGTACCAATACACTGGTGAGTTAAGTCGTTCTATCCTGAGAGGATAATATGCCAAAACCTCAGGGTACTTGAGGGGAATAATTTCTTTAAGGACACATTGTGTATTCAATGGGCTCAATCTCATTCCGAAATATATTTTCAGATTCGGTTTCTGGTTATTTAAAATTTCTGCTATACTACTGTTTTTCTGTTTCTGTTTTTTTTATTTATCTTTTTTTTCTTTGTTTGTTTCAGAAAACTTATTGTTTCATATATTGCATAGTATTACAGTTTGACTAACAAAGGTAACTTTAACTCAAACTAATATGAGGCTGTAACATATACTATACCCTTTACAAGAGATTCTTATATGGTACATAGAATAGAGTTATTGTATGATCTTTTCTTGATATGAATTGACAGTTTTAAAACAAAGACTGCTTAAGTACGTACAGATAATAGCCATCAGTTAGTTGCAACTTGCAACATCGTGTCCACAAACCACAGTCAGCAGAGGCATACTCGTGCCAGCTCCCGATTTCATCATTAATATTTGTCATTCTTGAAACCAAAAGTCAGTTAGATTGGGTCCATGTAATTAAGGTTTGTCCATTAGGAAAGCTACCCTTCCCAATTGTCATGTGTTTAAATCAAATTCTGATTTTGAAATCATTCAACTTGAATGTGATTTCCTTCAATAAAATTAATCTGTAGACTTTACTACATGCGATACTTTTGGCTGACCTCTCTAGCAAGATAATACTCTTGTAACATTCTCTAGATAGAAATCCAAAGTTTCTTCCAGTTTTTCAAAAATTGCCCAAGTGGTTGAAATATTAAATATTCGCTCACTTTCAAGATTTAACAGAAGTTTAACATTGCAAATCTTTACACTACCAATGTAGTTTAACATTTAATAGTAGGCTAGTTGCCCTTTTCACTAGGCAACCAATTAACACAAGTTTACTTATAAATGACAAGATTATGTAAATTTTTTATTTTTTTTACATCAGTGGTGCATAAAACTTAAAAGTCATAAAAAATCAATATCTATTGTTCGAGAAGATGTCAAAAAACAACAAGAAAGAGCGCAAACGACTTTTCTTAATTTTCTTTTATTTTTTCGTTTCCAGGGGGTTAATTAGGAGATACTTGGCATTGTGAGAAAAGAAAACAGAAACAGGGATAGGGGACGAATGAGCAACAGCAACTTCACTCTGTAAATGTTTTTATTACTGATATTGGGTACCACACAATTCGATTTTGCAGCTTGCGCTGACTGAAAAAGAACTAAGTACAAGAATAGTAAGTACATAAAAGAGTACAATATCTACATTAGTTTATAGCAGAGCAAACTTTACGAATTTCACCATTAGTGCCAGTCTTAACTTCAATATTGCTCATTTTAACCATGGACCTGCCAAACTCCACACCGAATGTCAATCCAAGCAATCCCCTAATACCTAAAAACCTTTGGACAAACACCTGTGTAGAAGCATCGGTCCACAGCTTCTGGTCTGATTCCAGAACTCCACGACCATTCCTCAGGTTCGAGAAATACGAAGTGTCGAAATTGTTTACGCTTCCAGTGTCTAGTCCCACACGCCTTGCGGCATCCCCATTTTGTGGACATAATGCTCGAAGCTGAGGAAGAAAGGTTGCATCTATTGAAGGGTCAGGGCCACCAGTGGAGTTGAAATTGAATAGCCTGTCTCTGATGACTGCGCAACCTGCGGTTCCAATAGTGTGTGCACCTACCCACACAAAATTATGTATTAGTATCTCTTTGAAGGCTACTTTCATTTTATATGACAACCTCTTCTGGGCACGAAGTTAAAAAATAATGATTTTTGACACGTACCAAAAGTATCATATAGAACTTGAGGACCGTGTTAAATTGCCACGACAATTTTATCGTTATAAGAACATGCATGTCATTAAAGATAAAAATAAGAAATTTGTAGTTAAAATAGTTCCCACTTGCTTTCCCATGCTAACAAATAATTAAAACATTATACTATGTTATACTCATTACTTACCAGTAAGGGCAACAAGATCTTGAGTGTTGAGACCCTTTGTAAGAAACTTTCGCTTTTGAATATCCACAGAATCAAAAAAGGCTGGCAGGTCACCCGCATCAGCTGCTCTCGAAACTCGCCCATCTCTACGTCCCGTAGGCACAGACCATGTCAGTCCCCTAGTCTGCATCAACGATAGCAGATTATTACTACAAAGGATTTAGCTTAATTATATACTAAGATTACTTTTACACCATAAGCATATTTTAACCCGTTTTTTGTAGGTAATTTGCATTACTTTTTAGGTCATTTTTAGTGTATACAAGTAAGACTATATTATGGATACATGCATGGGACCATACAAACTATTTACCATTCAAGCATGGTCGCATAAGTTGGAACGGAGGAAGTATACGTTTAGATATGTGTGCGTGTATATAGATAATAAGAAGCGTAAAATATATAAGACAATGGGGGAGATATTCTTACCGCAACAACGGAATCACGAGCAGCAAGAGCAAGAATATCAGCACAGGAAACAACTCCAGGACAGATAGCTTCAATTTGCTTCTTAGCATCCTCAATAACGTCGAATCCTTTCAAATTTCTATTTGGGATAGCAGTTCTCTCAGCGTCTGAACCATCAATGAGGATAGAACCATCACAACCAAGTACAAAACAATCATGGAAGTGCATTCTCAGGATTCCTGGTGCCACCGTTGGATCAGACTGAAAATGAGCCCTCACCGTTGATTGAACTATGGATTCGGCCCTTGGGCACGTACTGGAATAAAATCCAACACGGGTTCCTTGGCCTAATACCATAGTCACATCTATGGCTAGCGCTAGAATAACCATAAACATGGCCATTTTGTTAATTGAATGGTGATAGTACTCCATGGTACGTGTTAACAGTATAAACGAATTCTGAAATTTGAGTAAGTAAATTTCTACTCTTTTTTGTGCGTTACTTAATGATTGAAATTGTATAAGAAACCTGGACATATTTATAGGCACAAGTGAATAAAGAAAAGATTGAGTAGTGATTGGAGTAGGAGACCATGTAAGCAAAGTCGGCTCCCATCGCTGACAATGACTAAAGGGCCTACGCGTTTGAAATTTTCTTTTCCTTATTTAATTACGAGGAGAGTGGGGAATCAAGATTTCAATGCTGTTTGGAGGAATGAGTTGGCATGCATCTAAGTAGCAGCTTTGATTCTGTCTTGTCTCTTTTAATTAGTCAAATTTGTAATTTGAGGAATATTAATGCTTATCTTGCATATGGTAAACTTATATATATGTACATTAATGGGAAATTTTCTTAAATATGGAGTATACTTTTTGACAGAAAAGGGAACTTTAGGACTTATGAGTTGCGACTTGATTATGCTTCCATTAATCGTATATTGCAAAATACTAAATTTGACCAATAGAGTTGGTTTAAGACGCTCTTAATTTAGCTCCAAATGACAAATTCTCATGTGTCTCCTGCCATTTTCCCTATTCTAAGCAAATAAAAGGTTAAAAAAGTCTCCAATAGTCAAAACATATTACTCCCTCCGTTTCAATTTAAGTGAACATGTTTGACTGAGCACGTAGTTTAATAAAAATAAAGACTTTTGGAATTTGTTGTCCTAAACAAGTCAAAAAAGGGCCTAAAGTATTTGTGTGGTTATAAAAGCTTCTATTAAGGTAGAATTGTAAGTTTAAGCTAAATTGTTAACAAATCTAGACAAAGTTCATTCTTTTTGGAACGTACCAAAATGGAAATAGGTTCACATACTGAAACAGAGGAAGTATTAGTTTCATGTTTTTATTCCACCAACCTTTTAATGCTTTCGTTTTTTTTTCCAATATCAGGAGAAAAACGAAAAAGAAAAAAAGAGTTGTATTGCCATTAAAGCAAATATGTATGCCTGGTGAACTTTTTGTTGAGGAATGATTTGTATGGCATAGGTGAATTTGACTATAATCACACCTTAAATAATCACCTTCTTGTGTAGTTTTAATGCTAAAAGTGATGATAAAATGCTCTTATTAGTGTTTTTCATGATTTGTAGGTGATATATGTATAAAGAAGGCTAAGGAGCAGTTTTGGAGTCAAAAGTGATGAAAAAGAGGCCAACTGTGAAATTTCCCAAGTGACCCGTGCAAAAACAGGCTGAAGATTCAGAGAACTGGATCCACCGCGATTCCACCGCGACCGCGGCAGAACCGCGGTGGGAAGCAGCTGCAGAAGATTGAGATTCCGCGAGGGTGTTTGGCCGCGGTTCTACCGCGACCGCGGCAGAACGGCGACAGGCGCAGTAAACTTCAGGGACCAAAGTGTCAATTACGGGATTTTTAGACCTAAACCCTATTTAAAACATTAGACTTCGCCCAAGAGAGGCATGTATTGATTTTTTAGGTTTCTTAGCAAGGAAAAACATTGTGAGAAAATACTCTAAACATCTTTCTTCTTTTCTTTTGATTTTATGATGAATTCAAGCTTAGTTTATTTTCCCATAGCCATGAGTAGCTAAATTCCTTGTCTAAGGCTTTGATGGAACCTATTGGGTGATGAACTTCTTGTTTATGTGAATACAAATTGCTAGTTTAATTCCTTGTCTAAGGCTTTGATGGAACCTATTGGGTGATGAACTTCTTGTTTATGTGAATACAAATTGCTAGTTTAATCTTTATTTGTTCAACTTCGTGTTCGTTGTAATTAATTGACAGGATCCTCAATTAGCTGTGCCTATTTAGTGTGCATAACTTGGAAAAGAGTGCATATTTAGGGTATTGTTGAACACCACCACTCCTAAATTATTAGAGGAATCTATAATTGCGGGTTTAAAGGCGGGATTAGGAATAACGAAGCCTTGGGTGCAATCTAAATTGAATTGTGCTAAATAAAGCAAGCTAGTGTATCTCGGGAGAGTGCAATAGTAGATTACTGTGATTACTCGGGAGAGATTTGCGGCAAGATTAGCGTTCATGATTGATAGAGATGTGTGGGTAAATTTGTATGAGCATAAACAGAAGGGATTCCATCAATAGGGGAAATCATTGCCTTAGCTTTTTCTCATAATTGTTTACAACCCTTTTTTTTTACTTAGTTACAGTCATTTAGTTATTTGCAAGCTAGTTATTAAAGAACACTCAACTGAGATTTGAATATTTTGGAAGCTGGTTCTGAAGACTTAGTGGGTCTGAAGATAGCGGTTGATAGGTTAACTCTCTGTGGATTCGACCCTGGGCGTAATACTCGGGTTATATTTGCAACGTCCGCAGAGTCCTTTTTATAAGGCATAGTTGGGCGTGATCAATTTCTTTTTAGGAAAAAATCGATCCAAACCGAACCATAAACACGACTATGTATATGACTAGTTTCCGTTGACTTGTTCAAACAAATAATATTGCAACAACCAACAGAATAAAGAGGCAAAATAGGGTTGACAAAATAGCCAAAAAAGAAAAAAAAGTCTTTTCTTAAAAGAGAAACAGCGGTCCAAAAGTCTAATGTTCTAAACTAAGAGCCCGTTTGAACATAATTTTTTTTTTCCTTTCTTTCAAAAAAATTCACTTTTTTTTTCGAAATCATCATTTGTTCATAAAATTTCCAATTTTCACTTGAAGATGCATTTCGAAAATTTTCGAAAATTTAAAAAACTCCAACAAACTGTTTTTCAAAATTTGCACTCAGATCACTCACAAAAACTTCAAAAAGAACCCAAACTAAAATTATGTCCAAATACAACTCCAAATTTTAAATACCATTTTCACTTGAAATTTTTTTCCACCATTTCTTGGAATTTTACAATTCATATGTCAAAACGCCTACTAAATACTAAGGGTGTCTAACGGGTGGGCCGGGCCGGGCTGGGTAGGAAAATTTAGAAACCGTGCAGGTTGCGATCCGGGCCGGTTACGGGTTGGGGCTTACCGGGTTTAACGGGTTCGGGTTCATTCGGGTAAAAAATTGAACCGTAAGGGTTACGGGTATAAGGGGCCGTGCGGGGCCGGGTAGTGTAATTTTTAATTTTTTTTTTGTATTTTATTTTTGTATAACTATTGTAAGTTATATTAATATAAAGTAAAAATATAAAGAATACAATGAAGATGGGAAAAAATTGCACTTATAAATTGCAAGTGCTACATTTATTTCAAAATTCAAACTTACAAATTGAAAGGTTTACATTTAACAACAAGTAAATTAACGAAAAAAGAGTAAATTCAAAGGCCCCATTATTAAAAAAAAAAGAAAAAAAATTAAGTTAGCCGTTATACTGGTCTGGGCCGGTTAACCGGTTGAACAGTAAAAACCGTTTAACGGGTTTGACCGGTCCGATTAACCGGTAGGAATTAAGTAGACGGACCAACCCCCTACCCCTTTAACCCAGCCCTATCCGGCCCCCTTCTACCGGTCCGGGCCGGTTCCGGTTTAGGAAACGGCCTGACCCGGCCCGTTAGACACCCACACTAATTACAGCCACAATCCGACCGGGTCCAATGACCCAAACCGGCCGGGTCGAGCTAGGTTAATATAGAGGTGGCTAACGGGCCGGGTTGACCCGGAACCGGCCCGGCCCGGTTCATAAGGGGCCTGGTGGGCTGGGTTGGGGGGGTAAAGGGGTTTGTTCCGTTTAAAATTTTCCACCGGTTAATCGAACCCGATAAACCCGGTCCGGATGAACAATACAGTAACCGATTTAACCGGCCCGGTTTAACGGCTACAATTTTTTTTTGTTTTTTTTTTTAATTTTTGGCAGGTGTGGGTCCCATTGACCGTTGGCAACGATCAGAAATTAAACTGATCCGTTAGCCAACGGATCAATTGCAAAAATAGCCATTTTTTATTTTATTTTTAACCCTTTTTGATTTTACAAAATTAACCTTCTCTAAAACTATAAATACCCCC